GCAAGAAGATTTTCATGAATGCATCAAATCATACATTTGAGATAGACATCAACTTAGTTAAATTAAAAGAAGAAATTTATGACAGTTTTGGCATAAATGATCTTAAAAAGTAGCACTCACAAAGTGACATTGGCATACAACTTGAAAAGATTTAATAAGAATAAGCAGAATGGATTAAAATAAATAGGAAGACATTTTCTACGCATGGTATATTCAAATTGTCCATGCTAATATTCAAGTTCATCCAAAAGGCAACTTGCCTGGTCAGGATATCTCTTTATTGGTAGAGGCAGCTGATCATCGCGGAGTCTGATTTCATTGTTATACCCAAATTTCCGTAGTACTGTCCACGTTGTCTCTAAACGCCCCTTCTCAATAAAAAGTGCATGGAGAAAGAGGAAACCTGTCAATGTAAGACCACGATCATCAACACCTTCCCTCAACTTCTCTTGCACAACTCTCTTAATACCTACTATTTCAGATGGTTGTAGTGGAGCATTGAAACACTTCACCTGCAGTTATTACTAAATCATTTCAGTGTCCAGCAAAAGAGAAGGATTGTGCAAACTGGTAATCTTCAGGAAGCTTACATTTACATGTAGATTTTATGTGTCATAACATACTTGTAAATGAGGATATGAAGAATCACATTATAACAAAATATTAACAAAAAGACCTGAAAATCATTCAACTCTGCATCACAGAGAGCACCATCTCTGTCGTGGTCACAAAGAATAAATATCCTTTTCAAAGCCCTCACACGGCGTGGCCTCAAAACTTGTTGTTCCTGATCAAACAATGGAGCAGTCGGATGAAGCACAGCTTTTTGTGCATAGTAGAAAACCTCAGGAATCTGCAAACAGGAAATCACTAACCATTTCACGAGTTTGTCGTGATAGAGAGCTTCAGACGTAATAATGTTAATCAGAGTTTTGATTAAGCATATTCAGCTATCAAACATTATCGTGTATAATTCAAGCCAGTCTCTCAGCCTATTTCAAACTGGCAAAGTTTCCTAGAGTAAAACATTTGAAAGTGGATGAAAGCAAAAGACAATCAGATTTTGCCATAAATCGCAATAATGGTTAATTGAAGAAAAAATGCTAATATATTGCACATGAAGACACTAAATACCACCAACAATATATAAGATGCCGACATCACGACGTTAAAATCGGCCTTGTATTAGGCAATAGATTACTGGAAGAATTTACCTGAATATGGTTTAGTGCAGAACATTCAATACAAGTTTCAATCTCACGAAACTGTTGCATTATCGGTGACATAACCTGCTCCAAACTAACAGGATGTTGATCATCCCTCTTATCCAGCATGCAACCTACCACAATAACAGGCACCTTAACCTGCCCAAACATGCATTAACGGCACTAGTTAAAGGGTAAAACAAACTGGAGAATAAACTAAGCCTCCATTTGGCCCCCATTATATGAAATTATAATTTTTGGAATAGTGTTTTTTTGGAGAATGTGTGCATGAAAAAAAATGAAAAATTTCGGTTTACGTGTAATATTATTTTATAGAAGATTGTATAGTAGAAAATAAGAGAGATAAGAATAAACGTTTGGGATAATGAATGACAAAGGGAGACTAAATTCCATAATAATTATCGAGATAGTTGACTTTGGCACTAGATGCAATTCTGTGCATTAGAAGATAACAATTGGGTAAGCAGTAATAGGACTTCAATCTAATAA